CCCCAAAACCCCAAAACCCCAAAACCCCAAATAGCAGAGCAAGAATAGAATTAAATTTAAATATTATAATTATGGAAGAAGCTCCAACAGCAAGTTCAGGTATGCAGCCTAGTAAAGGATCAGGTATGTTTAGTAGAGGTATTGGTGGTTTTTGAGAGGGTGGAGTTGGAAGGAATTAGTATGGGGTCAAGTTAAGCGCCTTTGGATGTTGAGTGGTTTTTTAAAGGATTTTGAACTTTGGAGGCGAGCAAGAGAGGTCTGATAAAGTATGAAAGCCTTGCCACCTTAGCCTATTCATAAGCTACATCTTGCTTAAATAAGCTAGAGTCCTGTCTATCCTAAAGCTTCCTCTATATTCTTTGGTATAAGAGATTACCAGAATAAGGTTGCTTAGAAGCATAGTTATCTTTGATGTGTGTATGGATTAACTTAAGAAGTGCTGTAATGTACACTATAAATTTCTATTGTCTGGTCAATCACGGGTATGGTAGAGTTTGATGCAGTGTAGACAATTCTTAAGTAGCTTAAAGAGAGTTTGAATGAGTCATTAAAATCCAAAAATGACAGAATGTCTTAGACACTAAGTCTAGGACCAAGTCAGTTAATTGTTTGTGTCGAAGATAACTGATCTTTTGAGAAAGATCAAGTTTGTTGGCTAAAGTAAAAACAAAAATTAAAAATTATGCAGGTGATTAATGCACTTTATATAGGAGGAAATTATAAAAACGAATATGCAACGATCTCAGCCACGTAAGTCTCTGACATGCTCTCTCTCAACCCTCCATAGCAGCTCCACCAATGAAAACCCTGCTCTTCAAAGGCTCAACCACCTCCAGAAAATGGAAAAATAAGTCTTGGAGAGGAATCAGAGCTGAGTGCACTGGAAGACCTGGAACCTGCACTCTGCTCAACAAGAAGAGGTTCTTTCCGGTGTCTGAGCTTCAGAAAGAAAGCGACAACCAGAACAAAATATTCATGGCAGCCCTAAGCAAGCTGGCTGAACTCGAAGCCAAGAAGAAATAAGTCAGGCGTGGCCAGCAGCGCTTCATCTTCGATGAGCATGACTAGTCCGTCGAATACAACAAGCGCATCAGGTTCTACCAAAGACGGGTCATATGCAAGCAAGAGCGGTGCTAAGGCAACATCAGGCTCGAAGTCTTTGCAGGACTATTTGAGTTTCAAAGCCATAAAGGAGCATCAGTGGGTGTCTGGGCCACCATCAACACACTTGTACACGAGAGGAGGGAATGCTGATTACTCGGAGCTATCTTACAAACTTCTGAAATGAGAAGCTAGATGTGTGAGATCTACTCTTGAAACTCATGGATTCGTTTATACTGAATCTCATGATTGGAATTTACTCTGGCTTGCATCCTCTGGTAAGCCATATCTTTATGATGGCCTGAACGAATATCAGAAGATCAACCATTATCCATCTAGCTATGAGATCACTAGAAAGGATAAGTTATGTCTTAATGTGCTCAAAATGCAAGAAAAGTTTGGAAAGATGAACTTCTATATCATCCCCGATACTTTCTTGCTCCCTGATGAATTTGCAGATTTCTTCGCTGAATTTCATCAAGTTAAAAATAATGAAGGAAGAAAGCCTCTATGGATTGTAAAACCAAATGCTTCTTGCCAAGGAAAAGGAATCTATCTTATAGATGACATTAATGATATTGACTTGGACGAGTCTTGTGTCATCAGTAAATACATCCCAAATCCTCTCCTGATTAATGGCCATAAATTTGATCTCAGAATATATGTCCTTGTCACATCTTGGGATCCTCTCAGAGTTTATGTCTACAAAGAAGGACTAACCAGATTCGCTACTGAAGAATATACCACTGCAAGTAATAAAAAGAGTAGATTCATTCATCTTACTAATTACTCACTAAATAAGAAGAACACTAATTGGAAGACCAATGAAGAATGAGATAGAGATGACTTCGGATTTAAATGGTCAATTACTGCTCTCTGTAAACACCTTGAGCAAATTGGTATTGACATGAACCTTCTCTGGTCTAAAGTGTATGATGTTATCATTAAGGCTTTACTGTGAGGAGAGCATCCAATCCTGACAGCAATGAAAAGAAACTTATCCTATAGAACAAACTGTTTCGAACTGCTTGGGTTTGACATTATTTTTGACTCTGATCTAAAGCCATGGCTGTTAGAGATTAACTTATCCCCATCGTTAAGTTACGATTCTCCGTTAGATTTTATCATCAAGACCAATCTTGTCGCCGATACTCTGAACTTAATAGGGATCCATAAGTTCGATAGAAGAAGAGAAAGCATGAACAAAATGAGAAATAGGATGAAAGGAATGTATAAAGGCAAAGGAGGATATACCACTAAGACAGGAAGTAGCAACCTTAAAGGCCTCTTCTCAGATGAAGGAGAAGAAGGAATCAAATTTGGAACTATCTCTAAAGAAATGGAGAAGCTTATCAATGAGAGTGATTGTGACCCAGAATTTAAAGAGCTCATGATGAAGATGGCTAGGCTAAAGAATAGAGATCTCATCAAAGAAATTGTTGCTGAATATGAGAGGAGAGGAAATTTCGTCAGAATCTATCCTGCTCCAGGATGTAATGAATATGAGAAATATTTCCAATATCAGAAGACAATCAACAAGTATGTCTACAAAGTGCTTTTTGATGGTGAATTAATAAGTAAACAAGATATTGATTTGAAAGCCAGCTATAAGCTAAACTATGATGTACCCAAGCTTTCATCTTATCAACAAGTGAGAGAAGAAGCAAAGTTTATTAAGGCTAGATCAAGCGTAACAGCTAGTGATGCTAGTACAGCTGATGATTCAAATAAGTTGCCAAAGATAGGCAAAAAGTCTACAGAAAATAACAAAGTAGTTATCACTGGAGATGATGTATTAATCGAGTACGTCTCTAGATTAATCAAGAAGTGATATGACGAGACTAAAATAGTCCCTAAAGATTTGGAGTGTATAGAGAGCTTTATCTCTCACTATGTCTGGCATGACGATGATCTTCCCAAGTCTTCTATTCAAAAGCGTTTGCAAAACAGGTTAGATGAAATGATATCTCGTAGAAAGAAACTTTTAAAAACTCTATGCAAGAAAGAGCTTGTGTCTGGTACTTATACTGGAAGTGAAGGATCTGGGACAATCCAAGCTATGATTGATCATAAAGAGAATCAGAAGTCTTCTCTCCTAGAAAATTTTAATGTCAGCTATTTAGAAGAAATGCTCAAAAGCACAACTAAGAGTATAGCTAAGGATGTTGTCAGTACTTTAATAAATGCTGAGAGAGCCGGTGTCCTTGTTAATATTGCAAAAAGAGAGAAGAGCACCAATAAAACACTTTGGGATGGCAGTTCTGATAAGATAGATGCTCTCAAACATACTGAGGCTAAAACAATGACAAAATTAAGTGATGGAAAGTCGCCAGGAATTGTGAAAACAACCCAGCCTCCACAGAAAATAGCCAAATCTCAGAACAAATTTTCATAACTAGATCTCTTTAAGTGAATTTCCTCAAAATAAAATCATAAATTTCTTTCAAACCTTCTTTCCTCACCGTATTCCTTATCACCTAAACACAAAACATTTAGACTTCTTCCTTATTCTACCCCATCACCCTAGGGGTAAATCTGACTTCTATAGCTTTTTTCAGCCTCTAAAAGCTCCTATCTACACTTCTAACCTTAATTCACCAGATTTTTAATAATCCTTTTCTCATACTCCATCTCAAATAGTATTTTCTTCTTAATAGCTCTAAATATTGAATTAATTCAACTGTAAATATATATGGAGGGGTTTTGGGGTTTTGGGGTTTTGGGGTTTTGGGGTTTTGGGATTTTGGGGTTTTGGGG